AGGAGGGAAAAGAAGGGCCGCTTCATGCGGGAGGAGGAGGAGGGAAGAACGGTAGCAAAGCTCCTGAGGAGAGAGAGATAGGTGAGGAGGAGGGCAGGGGTGAAAGAGAAGGCATCAATATGGAAGGGAGCGCGGAGTGGAACGGCGAAGAGACGGGTCAAGGGGAGGAGGAGGCTATATCGGGTGTTAGGGAGATACCGGGGGGGGAGGAAGAGGAGGAGATAGGAAGGTTGTCGGGCCCCGACGCCGCGGCCTCCGTTCCTTCTCCCGTGGCGGTTGCGAGGGCTCGGGAGCTGCATGTGGCGATTTTGTCCTTGGAAGAGCGGGTGGGCCAGGCAGCCGACGAGGAAGACTACGAGGCGGCGGGGGCGCTGCAAGAGGAATTGGAGGGTTTGCGGGAGGAGATGGCGGCCTTGGGTCCAATTGATGTGGTGCATTTGATCATGGACTCTTCGGAAGAGGAGAAGGAGGAGGAGGTGGGGGGATGACGGGAGGGAAAGGAGGAGGGAGGAGGGGAAAGGCGCATCGGGGGGAGGAAGCGAACAAAAGGATTACGTCGTGGAGCTGCGCAAGCGAGGAATTAAACAGTTTACGTGGCTATGACCACGCATGTGCAAAGTAATATGAACGTCAAATCAGTCCAGCGAACGGGTAAATTGAAAACAAAAAGTAAGAAATGCTTTCGGTGTGCTGATGACAGGAAGATCAGGGGGGCCGCGGGGCAGCAATGCATTGGGTTTCCGGCATTGAAAGACCTCACAGGCCAAATCCAGCCTTCAATCAAGTTTTAAGAGTTTTATGGCCTAATTAAATTCGCATTGAGTGGTTTCAAATACCTAATTCGTGTGCAATCATCCTCGCAAACAGGCACGAAAGCTTTAGGATGCAACGCACGTCCGATGCCCCTGCTTGACCGCCGTCTGAGAGCAGCAATTTTTATATCAACCAGACCAGGTTCAAAATGCTGAAGCAAATAACATTTAACGCTACACAATGATTTTCACTCCCCAAAACTCAAGCAAAAGGTACAAACAATGTGTTACGGATGGCTGTGAAAAGAAAAGTATCTTTGGGTTTGAAAGAGCGGGGCTCCTGGGTGGCAGCGACTCTTCCGAAGCAGGTCATGCTCAGCCATAAATCAGCCAATTTTGCATCTCGCAGGGGAGTGCAGCCGTAGTGGTGTATGAAGTGCTTACAAACTTTTATATTTTTCCATTACGCTGTGCGTGTGACCGCCGAAATTCGACCAATGACACTCAAAGAGTTGGCAGGGGAGACAAAGCTCGTGCTTGCCCCTATCTTTCCTCGGGGGCCGTACATTGCTTCAACCCGCTCTCTCACACATTCCCATCCCTCACTTCTAGCAGCCACGTACACATAGGACCAAGACGGTGGATCTTATCACACGAGAGATACTTTGACGGGAAGGCGTACGTGTGGAAGGTTCCCCTGAAACGCATCGCGCCCGTACAACACGACAGAGGGCAGGGAGCAGCAGCAACTTTTATAGCAGGCTCGAGTGGAGCATGCGGCGGCAGCGACGCCAAGGCTGCTCAATGGCTTTCGTTTGCATACTGCTAGTAATAAGCCTCATAGGTGGAAGTGAAGCCTTCATCGTTCCTGGGAGTAGGATAAGACCAATACCGTCCATCCCCTCTTTTTCGTCTCCAGCCTCCTCCTCCTCTAGAAGAAGTTTCCAACCGCCCACGACGGCCCTCTCATCTCCCTCTCGGCGCTTCCCATCCTTTGCTTCTCGACGACTGGGCGGAAGGAGCCTCACCATGCTGAAGGAGCCCCAAGGCAGCGACGCTTTTGCCCGCGTGGTGGAGAAGGAAGGAAAGCTCAGTCCCCTCGCCAAGCTCCATTCTGGGCCGGCACAAATCTTGAAGGTGACCACCGTGCCCCTGGCCGCAGTGGGAGGATTTCTGGCCACGCCCAAGGGTGCCGGCGGCATGTTCCGTGTCTTTGGGGGCCTGGTTGGGGGCTTGGTCTTGAAGGAAGTGAACTCCAAACTCCGGACCATGCGGCAGGCCGGCGCGGAGGTGGCGGTGGCCCGCTTGCTCCTCGACTACGAATCGGACATCGCCTCGTTGACACCTTCGGCCGTGAAGGCCGTCACGGCCAAGTACGACGTGAACTACGCGGAGCATTTGGAAATCATGCGGACCCTGTATACCTCCTTCTTGGTGGCCATGTTGCAATGGCCCCAAGTCCGGATGCAGGAGCCCGCGTCCTTGATGGACCTGTCCGCCGCCTTGGGCCTCGACTCCTCCACGATTGGCGACGCGCACTGTGCGGCCGCGGAGGAAGTGGCGCGGATGCTGGCGGAGGTGCCCTTGGAGGAGCGGGAGGAGGCCTGGGAGCAGGGCATGGTGGGAAAGCTCCTCTTCCTCTCGGACCGGCTCTATGCCCAGCTGGAGGAGGAGGAAACCCGGGAGTATGAGTTGGGAAGGGTGACGGAGGTGCTGGGGCTGACCCCTAAGGAAGGGGAGGAGCGCGTCCGCAGCTTGGTCTTGCCGTACTACACGAACATTGTGCAGAACGGGGTGACAGCCCTGCGCACGGGGGAGGCCCAAGGCGGCCCCAGGGACGGGCCCACGCTCTTGGAGTGGCGACAGAGCCTGGGGGTCTCGGAAACACAAGCCAACGGCTTGCACGCTCAGGTGTTCGCGGAGGAGGTGACGCGGTGCCTGGAGGCGGGGCAAGGCCGGATCCGGGACGGCGACATGGAGCGGTTGAGCAGCCTCCGCAAGTTCCTGGGAATCACGTCCTTGGACGCCGAACGTGTCTTGGAAGGGGTGACGGCGCCCATGCTTCGACAAGCGATCGTGGAGATGCTGACGCGGTTGACCTCCACCCCTTCGGACACATGGCCCGAGGTGCTCGGGCACGTGCGGCAACGCCAGAAGGAGCTGCACATGGTGGACTCCGCCCTCGTCTTCCACATCAAGGACGTGTACCGGGAGCGGTTGAAAGGCCTGGTCCAACAGGCCAACGACGCGGCGCTGCCCTTGGAAACAGCGGCCACCGCGGCGGCGTTGGGGGAGGCAGGGGGCCCACCGGGCCTGGCGGAGACGGCCTCGAAGCTGTGCAAATCAGTGGGTGCGGCCATGCTGCTCATGCGCCTGATGCGGGAATTCTTGGAGGTGAACAAATTGGAGGACGTGATGGACGAAGACCTCTTCCACCTCTCCTTCCTGGGCCTGTTGCCGGGGGAAATGACCCAGCGGGAGCGCGAGATCACCTTCAGGCAGTACGTTGCGGCGGTGGTGGAGGCGAAGCTTGTGGACGACGAGGGGGGGAACATCAACGCCCTGGGCGTGTTCTTGGAGATGGACCCGGCCTACGTCCGGTACACGCTCAAGTCCCTGGTGGGCCCCATCTACGAGGAGAAGGTCCGGGAATTCGTGGTGGAGAAGGAGGCGATGACGGAGGCGAACCAGGCGGTGTTGTTGCAGCTGGTGCGGGATTTCCACGTGGAGGAAGCGGACATGCAGCGCATCGGTCTGAAATATTACGGGGAGAAGGCTCGGGGCTTCTGGGAGAAGAAGCAGGAGTTCAGCGAGGGGGAGTTGGGGGAGCTGGCCTCGCTCAAGAGCTTCCTCCTCCTGTCCGACCGGGACGTGGACCAGATCCACGAGCCCCTCGCCCGCGACGCGTTCCTCCAGGCCGTCCAAGCCGACTTTGCGCGACAAAAGAAGGCCGCCGAGGCCGACCTCACCGCCGCGCCCTCCGCCCCGCCC